CATACGAGACAACTCGTTTGCTCGTATTATTTGAAAACATAATACAATCAGGTGAGAAGTTCAACATCTCAAAATGTTGGTAAATCCTATAATATATCTGTATTCAGCGAAATTGGCGAACATTTTAGGCGGCTAGCACCATGGCGCTATTTGACCGATAAGGAGATGGCATGATCACATTATACATCTTGCTTAACCGTGATGAAAGTGAGCCGTATTCTCGAAGTAAGTATGAGTTAAGTGTTATATTTTCTATTTTATTTTAGACCTGTTTTAAAACTCAAGACAAAAATTAGTAGGAGATTCATTGGATGTTCTTAGACATCATAAGAAAGGAGAAGTCCAGAGATAGTGAAAAAAGATTCACGCTTAGTTAAAAATACGATATAGTTTTGAATAATTATCTTACTTAATGAGTTAATTCATTTCAATTAATCATAGCTAACCATAAATCTTGTACATTTGAAAGGTACACACTGAAGACAGTTTGCATATTTCAAGGTTATCTGAGTTAGCTTGGGGACCAAATAGATTAGTTAAAATGTTATCAAATATTTGGAGTTCAATGGTTATTAAATTCCAGACAAAAAAATTGGTGTGAGGGAAGGAAGACAAAAAATTCAGGCAGTATATGTAGAGGAATATCCCATACACGGGGATTGCGGATTGACTGAATCACAACAGGCCAAATCGGGTATTACAGAGAAAATCATTAGATGGTTTTGAATACTCGGTTAAGAGGAACACTGTGATCTACTCAATTGATGAATGGTTTGAATCCCAGTACCAAGATAAAGGCACGAAAGTTCATCCATTTACTGGTTATAACAGAAGTAAAGCGGATCTAGGAGAATATGCCAAATTTGATACACTTTCATCATATGCTAGTCATGCCATATCCTCAAGTCTAAAACTTATGCTAACCCTATCCAAGCGGAATCGAGGCAAAACAAGATTGACTGTAGTTATGAAGATTAAGAACGCTGATGAGGGGAGTTAATTTTGAGAAACCAACTCTTCAATTTACCAATCAGGTTCTAACACCATCAAGAATAGAGTTTATGCTCTAATTTAAAAAATAATCTTCCCTAAATCAAATGATAGATGACCAACAGAATTAATGAGAGCGAGTTGCTGTTAGAGGAGTAGAACTAACCATAGAGGAAAGTAATGATGAATCTGATAGTAATGGAGGACCCATCATCTATGCGAAGCTGAATCTACACAAATGATAGAGTTAAAAAACATAAGGTAACTTAAATTTTTTTAGCTATGCACTGCATTTGTTTACTATTCCCTGCGAATTTTTGAACTTTACAATGTTATTTTTTTTTAGCTACTGCACTTATATTCTTTTTTATCTCCCCTGCATTTTACGTTGACTGTATCTTTATTTTAGCTATTGACACTTGCTTATTTTTTCTATTATAATAATTTTGTTTATCACATTCATAGGATAGGGTACCATCAGGTCACCGGGGCGACAGCGAAAAAGCAGTGGAGAAAACCAGGGAAGCGGCAAGAGAGAGGTGACAAGGACATACGCCGGCAGAGGCCAAACAACAACTGCCATTGCTGCATTCGACGAAACAAGTGAACCCTACTGACTACGAAAGGACATGGTGACGCGTCTACTGACAAAGCTAGAGCTTGAAAAAAAGGCTAAAACACACGCTAATAAGGCAGCCCACCAACAAAGCAAATAAAAG